CTATACTTATGTATGGTTCACAGACGTAGACACTCAGCATGTCTAATATGGATAAAATAGTAAAAGCACAAAGAGTGATGAAAAGATTAATGCTCGGACTGAGACTTATAGGCAAAAAAACAAACAAATGGATTAGATGCAAAACCAAAGTAAAAGACACAGGAGAACATGCTGCCAAATTAAAATGGAGCTTCGCAGGACTTAATGCCCCAATGAAAGATAAGAAATGGAACCACGAAATACAACAATGAAGACCACGGTTAAAAAAGAGAAGCAGAGAAAGACCACAAATGAGATGGGCGGATGATATTAAAAAGCATTTCTTTAAATCCATCTATTATGTAACAAATAAAGACGTGTGTCCTAATTCTTCTCCTTGTCCAGATCTTTCGCACACGATGTGACTTTGCTCACCAAAGACTAATAGAAGATATAATTTCGTTCTTAGTGATCCCTAGAGGGAAATCAAAATTTCGTTTTTAGAGAATGAAACGGTGTCTAGAGGTAAGAACTGATATATTTTTTAAGGCTTTGTACCTGTAACATGCTCAAATGTACAACGGTTACAATTTTCGTCTAGCTAAGATACGACTTATATTTGTCCGATGTAAATCCTTTGGTATTATCGGTATATGCGAGATCAAGATATTTTCCCTTGATGATCATTGCCACATTAATGATTATGATCACATTATTCATAAGCTTCTTCACAGACTTCTTCCATTGCACAGTCAAGGTTAATTCTTCTTCTTCTAGTTCCATGACCGTTATCGATCGTTGGATATCATGTTGGCTACCATATTCGCTATCGTGACTTTATTGACAACAGCTCTAAATAACGATGAAGTTGATTTTCCGTACCATTGCCTTAGATTTTTTAGCCATGATGTTCTTCGTCTACCAGGACCACGATTATCTTGGATCTTTCCCTGAATGATCAGATGTAAAAGATCATATTTTCAGGGTATCTCATAATGTGACCGAAGTATTTCAGCTTGCGTTTCTTTATTATATTGACCAGTTGTGTTGTTTAGCTCAGCCGTCTAAGGACCTCCTCATTTCGAAATCTGTCGACCCAGCTTATTTTCAGTAGTCGTCTGTATACCCACATCTCAAAGGCTGTCAAGTGTTTAAGCATAGCCTCAGTTAGAGTCCACGCTTCCACTCCATATAGCAGGACAGAAAAGATGTAGCAAGATGTCATACGAACTCTAAGGTCAATGCTAAGATCGTGACTGCAAAGTACTTTTCTTATTTTTACAAAGGCAGCTCGGGCTTGTTCTATTCGGCTTTTAATTTCTGCGGTTGGATCCCAGCTCTCATTAATATTACTGCCGAGATACACGAGTTTCTCTACTCTGTCCAGTGTGGCATCTTCGACTTTTATACCGTCATCCTGTATATAATTTTGTTTGCTAACTATCATATATTTAGTTTTCTTAACGTTGAGTTTTAATCCATACTGATCACAAGTCTGTTTTATTTTGTTCATTAGATTTTGAAGGTCTTCTCCGCAATTGGCAAGGACTAAGGTATCGTCGGCATATCTAATATTGTTGACGATTACTCCATTCATAATAACACCTTCAGTTTTCTCCATTAAGGCTTCTTTAAATATTTCCTCCGAATATAAGTTAAAAAGTAAAGGCGACAATATACAGCCTTGTCTCACTCCTCTTTTTATATTTATTTCATCCGACAGTTATTGTTCAACCTTTATTCTTGCCACTTGATGCAAGTATAGATTTGTAATTATTTGTAGATCTTTATCGTCCAATCCAGCTGTTTCCAATATTTCTAGCATTTTGTTATGTCGGACTTTGTCAAAAGCTTTTTCAAAATCAATTGCACAAATGTACACATTTTGATTTATATCTCTGCGTCTCTGTACTAGCACCTGTATACTAAATAAGTCTTCTCTTGTACCCAAGCCACTCCTAAACTCAAATTGAGTATTGCTAATTCTGTCCTCTAACAAGGTGTACATTCTGCTGTGTATTACTCGCAGGAAGATCTTCAAAACGTGACTCATCAGACTTATTGTCCGATAATCACCGCATGTCTTTGAACGATGTTTCTTAGGTATTGTGACAAATGTCGACTTTAACCAATCAGTTGGTAATATGCCAGTGTCATAAATTCTGTTAAAGAGATTACACAGAGCTTTAATTCCATTTTCTCCCAAAAGCTTTAGTATTTCAGCACTTACTTCATCGGGGCCAAGTGTTTTTCCATTTTTTGCTGTTTGTATTGAACGTCTTACCTCACTTTCTGTTATAGATGGACCTGATATAGCAATCGGTGTATAGTGTTCTACTCTCTCATCTTCAAATAATTCAGAAATGTAGTTTTCCCATTCTTTTAACTTTTCATTGATGTCTAATATTCTGTGTCCGTTTCTGTCTTCTAAACTTTGGGATACTTGTTTCCGTTTGTTTTCAGCGACCTCTTTTAATTTCTTGTGCAGATAAAATGTTTCGTGTTTCTTTTCATATTATTCAATTTCATTACATTCTTTACTATGAAATTGTGTTTTTGCGTGTCTTATCTTCTGCCTAATTATTGCGTGGATCCTCTTTTATTCGTTTTAAGGTTAAGGGTAAGGTTAATTAATGACAACCTATTCTACGTTTATTTGTAAATTGTGTGGTGGAAGTCCAGGCAAATCCAATGAATTTAAAAACTGTAGAATAGTTGACTACCTCATCCTGGTTTATAATTTGTCAACTAATTTAAACGAAAAAAAAACTTTCCTCCAATAAAATTCTGAATGGTTGTATTAAGATCATCGACTTATTTTTTGCCGCCAATGCTGCCTATTTACTCGGACAATTATGGTTGTTAAACTGTTGCGATGTCTGGAAAAACATGCCAAATATGCTCCTTTTTCAAGTTTGTGTCCACAGACTTCTGTAAAGTAACAGAAGTCTGTGAGTAATGTAATAAATCTGGTCAGTACCAATAGTACCAATTAACCAGTTACCAATAGTACTGTTTACTGTTTCCAGCGTCTAATAACTGTTTAAAAACACAATTGCACTTTACTCTTGTAGCAATACATTATCATGTTAGTTGTCAATTGAAATGTCTTTACGTGTTGCCACAAATTGGATGATTATAGGCTGATTTTAATTCGTCTGCAGTAGTTGATGGAGGAATAATTAAAAAAGTCTGACCAGAATCACCTGATAATAGCACCTGGTTCCACCAACAAATGGTTTTGGTTGTCATGAATTTTTTTCTAAGTTCTGTCCAGTGTCTCTAATAACCTCTTGTGGCCCATCGTACATTCATCTCAAACGGTTAATTTTCATATATGTAAAATCTTTACGATTTTCCCATTTGTGATAATGTTGCAAGCTGGTGTTTCATTGATTTGCATGTTAACTTGTAATTTTAACGCAGTATGAATAATTCGTCCACCTTCTAATAAAGTTGCAGCAATCCCAGATAAAACCAACGCTATGACTACTTGATTTTGCGATATGATCCTCACCAATTCCTCCCAGAGTATCAAGGATGTTAATTCTACCAGATCCAATGTTCACAGCTTTTACCAAAGTATCGTATGCAATTACTAATTGTTGTTGATTGTAGAACAAAAGTGTTTTTTGTTCTACATCTACATCTACATATTTATATGCCTTTGCTCCGACATTATTCTGTAAAGTAACAGAAGTCTGTGAGTAATGTAATAAATCTGGTCAGTACCAATAGTACCAATTAACCAGTTACCAATAGTACTGTTTACTGTTTCCAGCGTCTAATAACTGTTTAAAAACACAATTGCACTTTACTCTTGTAGCAATACATTATCATGTTAGTTGTCAATTGAAATGTCTTTACGTGTTGCCACAAATTGGATGATTATAGGCTGATTTTAATTCGTCTGCAGTAGTTAATGGAGGAATAATTAAAAAAGTCTGACCAGAATCACCTGATAATAGCACCTGGTTCCACCAACAAATGGTTTTGGTTGTCATGAATTTTTTTCTAAGTTCTGTCCAGTGTCTCTAATAACCTCTTGTGGCCCATCGTACATTCATCTCAAACGGTTAATTTTCATATATGTAAAATCTTTACGATTTTCCCATTTGTGATAATGTTGCAAGCTGGTGTTTCATTGATTTGCATGTTAACTTGTAATTTTAACGCAGTATGAATAATTCGTCCACCTTCTAATAAAGTTGCAGCAATCCCAGATAAAACCAACGCTATGACTACTTGATTTTGCGATATGATCCTCACCAATTCCTCCCAGAGTATCAAGGATGTTAATTCTACCAGATCCAATGTTCACAGCTTTTACCAAAGTATCGTATGCAATTACTAATTGTTGTTGATTGTAGAACAAAAGTGTTTTTTGTTCTACATCTACATCTACATATTTATATGCCTTTGCTCCGACATTATTCTGTAAAGTAACAGAAGTCTGTGAGTAATGTAATAAATCTGGTCAGTACCAATAGTACCAATTAACCAGTTACCAATAGTACTGTTTACTGTTTCCAGCGTCTAATAACTGTTTAAAAACACAATTGCACTTTACTCTTGTAGCAATACATTATCATGTTAGTTGTCAATTGAAATGTCTTTACGTGTTGCCACAAATTGGATGATTATAGGCTGATTTTAATTCGTCTGCAGTAGTTAATGGAGGAATAATTAAAAAAGTCTGACCAGAATCACCTGATAATAGCACCTGGTTCCACCAACAAATGGTTTTGGTTGTCATGAATTTTTTTCTAAGTTCTGTCCAGTGTCTCTAATAACCTCTTGTGGCCCATCGTACATTCATCTCAAACGGTTAATTTTCATATATGTAAAATCTTTGCGATTTTGCCATTTTTGACAATGTTGCAAGCTGGTGTTTTATTGATTTGCATGTTAACTTGTAATTTTAACGCAGTATGAATAATTCGTCCACCTTCTAATAAAGTTGCAGCAATCCCAGATAAAACCAACGCTATGACTACTTGATTTTGCGATATGATCCTCACCAATTCCTCCCAGAGTATCAAGGATGTTAATTCTACCAGATCCAATGTTCACAGCTTTTACCAAAGTATCGTATGCAATTACTAATTGTTGTTGATTGTAGAACAAAAGTGTTTTTTGTTCTACATCTACATCTACATATTTATATGCCTTTGCTCCGACATTATCTGTATTTCCTACTAATATCAAATCTGTTATTTTATACATTGAACTTTGGAAACTTTTTCGTAATTACTAGAGAATATCACCGTTTTGTCGGTATATCTGAGACTATTTAACTCTGCTGCAAAGATTACATGTCAAAAAAATGTAAAATAAAGATTTAAAATAATAGTTACCCACTTTAAAAAGTATCGAATCTTACTAAAGTATTTCTACAAAAAAATTAAAAAAATTGAATGGCCTTAGCAACAAATGCAAATTCATTAAATGGTATTACTACACATGGTTCTCTATCTATTCATGAATATTCTATACACTTAACTATATGCAGCATTCAAAGTTTATTTATAAAACAAGCTTAGTTACCTTAAAAGCTATCATATTTACAGTGTCCCTTTGAATTGTTGTTACCTACATAGTAGCAATACCATTAACGTAACATTTTCAATAAACGCAAATTTTGATACAAATGTACAGTGTCACTGTAAGAAAAATGCTAGTCTTTTATTACAATTTTAGTAATTCTTTATAGCAATTCGTTCAATGATAAGTGTATAAAAACCTAACAACCTTTCTTAATGTAGTTTTAGATTGGATTAAATCACAGTTAAATGTAACAATAATTAAATTTCTTTTTAATGATTTGCAGATAGAAAATCGAAACTTCAAAACGAAAATTGAACAATGTACAGCTAGTTTCAAATACACTGGCGAGAATTTCTCGGAACAGTCATGTCTACCTTAACAAAGCAGTGGCGTTTCAAAAATTATTTATCATTTACAATAGATTAAACTGTTGAAGATAGCTATTAAATAGACACGTAATAAAAAATAATATTAGATTATATTTGACATTATTTTTGTATATTTGCAACAACATATTATTTGAAATACCTCCTGTTCATTAAATGACTCTTCTTTATTTGGGTAAGTTATATTATAATTCTCTTTTTTATTATTTTATTTCTTGCTTCTTTACTCATATGGATCTTGTTTTTACTATTTGTTACTCTTCTTCTTGTTTACGTGCCATCTTCGCGACGGAGGTTGGCAATCATCATGGCTATTCTGATCTTAAATGCTTCTACTTATGTTACCTATCCGTTACGGATGTTAACCACTAACATGGCTATTCTGACTTTGTTGACTGATGCCCTGAAAAGTTTGGTAGTGGTTAAGTTAAACCATTTTCGCAGGTTATGCAGCCAGGATATTCTTCTTCATCCTGGACCTCTTTACCCATGCACTTTACCTTGAAGTATGGTCCGAAGTAGGTCATATCGTTGTTCATTGCGCATTATATGGCCCAGGTATTCCAGTTTGCGACGTTTTATGGTTACGACCAGTTCGCGCTCTTTACCCATTCTATGTAGTACTTCTTCGTTGGTAACTCTGTCTATCCAGGAAATCCTCAACATGCGTCTATAGCACCACATCTCAAATGCATCGAGTCTCTTCAGTAATCTTAAATGCTGCCGCTCTGAATAGTTTGATTGATGTGCATCCTTACCATTTCCTCAAGTTACGCAACCATGAGATTCTTCTCCTTCCTACATTTATTTTGCCCTTGATTTTCCCTTGTATAATTAATTAAAGTACGTTGTATCTTTCATTGCGCATAACATGCCCTAGGTATCGGAGCTTTCGTGTCTTGATCGTTTCCAAATTTTCCATTCTTTTATTGACTCTTCTCATGACTTCATTGTTAGTTACATGCTCTGTCCATGATATCTTCAGAATTCTTGTATACACCCACAGTTCAAATGCTTCCAACTTTTTAGTTTTCCACTCGTTAAGTGTCCATGCTTCTATCCCGTAAAGCAGAGTCGAGATAAAATATAACACCTTGCCAGCCCAACTCTCAAGTTATTCAAGAAGATTATTCGTGCTTTCTCTATTGGAACTTTGATTTCTTTGGAGTTATCGTTTGTGTGATTAACTATTGTGCTAAGATAAATGTAGTTTTTAACTTGTTCCAAAGTTTTACCCTTAATTGTCAGGCTTTCATTATTATTTTGGGTTTTTGATATCGTCATTAATTTAGTTTTTTTGATGTTTATTGATAATCCATATTCTTCTCCATACTCAACTATCTTATTCATTGGTTTTGGAGGTCTTGGAGGTTGTCTGCTGTTATGACAGTACAGTATTGTGCGAATTAATCAAATCACTGTGAATTTTTTTTCATTGTTTCAATATTCACGGTTGGCAACACTACTTACATAGTTGACAGCTGACCAAGCATTGAAAACATAACCTTTGTGTGTTGGTGTGTTTGAGTGTGTTTTAGGTCATTTTTTACCAAGCTTGTGTTGTTTTGGGGGTTTTTGTACTATTTTGTGTTGTTTTTGGTTTTATTCCAATATGGATATTACGCCTACGAAGCGTGAAAAGATTGTCACATTGAGTGAGCACACTAGTATGTCACAAAGAGAGATTGCTAGAACGTGTGGAGTGAGTCAGAAGGTAGTAAGCAAAATTTTGAAGCGTAAACGAAAAACGGGGTCGGTGGATGTGAAAATGTTAGGAAAATGTGGAAGAAAGAGAAAAACCACACCAGCAGATGATAGATTTTTACTTCGAAAGAGCAAATCGTACTCAAGAAAATCAAGCCAAGACCTACAACAAGATCTAGCAGCATCAGCTATAGTGATTAATGACTCAACTGTTCGTAGAAGACTTTTGGAGAATGGTAGAAGGGCAATTCGTCCACAGAAAAAACAGCTTCTAACTGAACGAATGAAGAGACAAAGGCTACTGTGGGCCAAAAAATACTCTAATTGGACTGTAGGCGACTATAAAAAAGTCCTATTTACAGATGAAACCCACTTTATAGTTCAGGGACAGCGGTCGAAATTCGTCAGGAAGTCTGACAATGAAAAGCTTACACCATCTCATATTGATCAAACCGTAAAACATCCAGTCAAGAAAATGTTTTGGGGATGTTTTTCATACATGGGGGTTGGATCTTTGGTGCCAATTGAAGGCATGATGAACAGCCAAAAATACAAATCCATGTTGGAAAAGTATTTTCCTACAGGAAAAAGTATAACCCCAAGGAGGAGCGATTCTTCAACAGGACTCTACTCCCTGTCACAAATCAAAGGAAATGATGGCATTTTTCAAAAATAAGAAGATTAATATTTTAGATTGGCCCGGTAATTCGCCCGACCTCAACCCCATTAAAAATTTATGGGCCATTTGCAAAGCTAGACTGCGAAAAATCGACTGTACCACTAAAACATAAATGAAGCTGCCATTCAGGTTCTAACAACTGACAACTGCCAGAAACTCATAGAATCTATGCCAAAATGGGTAAAATCAGTAATTGCTGCTAAAGGGGGACATATTTCCTACTGAATAATGTAAGTTTACCTTTATAGTTTTGTCAAAATATAATTTTTTAATAAATAAACTGTTTTTTCATTAAAACAGCCTATGATTCCGTTAATTCGCACAATACTGTATCGTTCGCACATCTAATATTGTAAATTGGTGTTCCATTGACATTTACACCTGCTGTTTCTCCCTCTAGAATTTTTGTCATAATTTCTTCAGAGTATGCATTGGATAGCAGTGGTGACAATACACAATCTTGTCGTAGTCCTTTAAATACTCCTACTTAAAATTTCGAACTCTTAATTTAATTTGTTACTACAGGCTCCCAATACTGACGAAAATTTCAGGAAATTTTCACAAATATTATTATTAATTACGATTTGTATTTTTTACGACCACCATATTTTTCAAATCGACGACCATTCCTATTAAGATTCTAAAGTGACAAAATATTTAATCAACCCTAATCTAATAAACAGTGATAAACCATTTGTAGACTTCTTATAATGTGAAAATAAGTAAAAATATGCTGTGACAAGGTAGTTTTCACTGTTTTATTTGAAATAAAAGATAATGCAATTGCTGTTTGGGGGCAAAACCGGACTTATTACTTATAATTTACATTAAAATCACTATACATAAGCAAGTAAGTAGGTAAGTTGAATATACTTTGAATTTTTTCTATAACGTTTAGATACGTCTTAGAAAACATCAAAAATTTTAAAATTTTCAACAAATAAATGAAACATTATCTCAATATAAGCAGAATGACAACAAATGGAGTAGTAAAGATGGCAAGAGACAGTTTCCCACTAGAAAGACGATCAGTAGGAATATCACGAAAACCATGGGACAACTTACTGGAGGCACATTGAAAACAGACAGATTCATGTCTATATAAAAAGAAGAAGATCATCTCAATATGTTTTACTTGAAGTAGTTTCTTCTGCTTTTTATTCTAGTGAAAGATTTTTTGCAATTGATTAGTATTTTTTTCTATAATTTTACAATGGCGTATAATTTTTGAACTATGTGCCTAACATGATGGTGTGGTGTTATAGTATTTTGGCTTTAATACTATTTTTACTGCAGGTTCTTTTGGACAATGGCAAAAACCTCTATAAAGAGCATTTGCTGGTAAGAAAAGAATGTTGTATAGGAAAATCACTTTGAAACTACAGAAACTCTCTTTCTCTCTCTTTTCTCTATTAGTGGGCGCGTGATCAAAACAGTGAAATTACATATTGATCTAGGTGTTATATTTATTAACAATCTAAGTTGGTCGGAACATTTAGCATATTTCTAAAAAAGCTAACAGTAAATTATATCTACTAAATAAAACGTTTGAGAAAGTGTCATTTATAAGCTCAGTTCGTCTGTATAAACTGTACATTCGTCCAGTTCTGGAATATTGCTGAACTGTTTGGTGTCCAGTATTAGTGCGCGATCGTAATGTTCTCGAATGTAATGACTTCGAGGCGATTTAATTATTACGTTTCAGAGAGTAAACTACAACTTTGGAAATGTGGGGGATATGTTTATACTAGACAATGACAATCGTCTTCATGGCCACAAACTTAAGTTTAAAAAGAAAACTTTTTTAACAACAACTAGACAATTTTTTCTCTGTAATCTAGTGCTCTCGATATGGAATAGCCTTTCTGCTGAGATCAAGATGCTCCAAATGTCAATATTTTGAAAAATAA